ACCTAGTTGGCCCAATGCCATTTGTTACACATTCCAAATTTCCACATTGTCTTTTAATGGCTCCACACCTACACAAATGCTTATGTATTTACACTATTCATGTGTACAAAAACTGTTTATGTTTAAATGTTCTCTTGTGTTGCATGACATTTCTATATGTTCCCACAAGCTCCATGTTCTTTTAATTACTGAGACTTGAAATAGATTTTAATGTCGGGGAGGGCAAGGCTCTCTCGTTTTTCAAAATGAGGGGTCTGATTTTAACACCATTACTTTTCCAGGTGAGCTTTTGTAAGCTTTCTCCAAATATTTTGTTGGTATTTTGATTGGCATTGTGTTAAATTTATTCATTAATCGACATCTTTACAATATTAAATCTTCCCACCTCTCCACCAGCTGGAAGTATTTTGTCCTTCCTCTGAACTCCCTTAGCACTTTATACCTTTTTAAAAATCACTTTCTAAACTATACCCACCCAATTTTTCAAACCTGAAACCTGAGAGTTGTCCCCCCACTCCCTTTTCCAACCTTCACCCCATCCAATCAATCATCAAGTCTGGTCAGCACTACCTCCTAAATTCCATCCACTTCTGCCTGTCCCCACCACCGTCACTCCAGGCCAAGCTGCCATCATTTCTGGCTGGGGCTACCACACTGGCCTCCAACTGACCCCCCGGATTCACCCTGGCTTCCAAGTCATTTTCTACACTGCAGCCAGAAAAATCTTGTTAAAGGCAAATCTGCTCATGGCACTGCCCAGATTTAAAATATGCAGTAGTTCTCTATGGCACTTGGGGGTGAGGAAGACCTCAACCCTCCCTTCCAGCCTGACCCTAACCTTCTTTAACTCATTCTTTCTGCTCTGTTCATAGTGGCCATTAAATATATTCCATATTCTTTCCCACCCCAGGGCCTTTGCACATACTATTGCCTATGTCTCACTGTTCCTAGCCCTCCCTATCATCTCAAATTAAGGTTTGATCTCCCTGGCATATGTCCCTGGCGTCCTAGGCAACTCCTTTTTAGTACTCATTACATTTGTAATTCCTTGTTCAGGCTGGTCTCTATGATTATAACACTAATAGTGATAAGAGTAATATTAATAATAAACACTTTTTGGAAAATAAGATATAGTTGCTCTCTATCCCAAGTGTTTACATGAAGATGTATTCTAGACCTGGCTTGTATTGGCTCATGAGAGCAGGTTGTTAAATTTTCAGGAATTTTGTGAGTCACTGGATGTGTCATATGTAGCTTGAAACTAGCCATGGTGAGAGTATCTGCACCAAGGAAACCAAAAAATTCCACAAACTAATGCCCATCCACCCACCTTTTCCCCAGAGAGCTGCCCATTGAAACTTTACCAACACACCACTGTTTGCATGCACTGCAATATTTAGTCCTCACCACAGCTCTGTGAGGTAGGTAGCCAATTTTATAGATGGGGAAACTAAGAGGTTAAGTCACATAAGATTTGAGGACTACTTGGAAGCAAGCCTTGACATACGTCCAGGCAGTCAGACCCTAGAGCACGAACACCTCACTTTTAGGTCCACACAGCAACGTTGAGGAGAGAAGGATGCCAGTGGGCTGACTGGGCTGCGTGTCAGACACACAGCACAGTGCTGAGCCCAGTGGGCATGCTCAATCAATATTAGCTTCACAAATAAGGCAATAACATCTCAGCACATCGGGAAAACAGAGCTATTTGCCTCCACACTATTGCTAAGGCACCAGGCAGGAAGGCCAGAGATTGGAGTCCTTGCTCCGACTCTGCTCCAATTCAGTGGGCACTGTGAGTAAGTCACTTCTCCAGGGGTCAGTCTTCCCATCTGCAAAAGAGGCAGTTTCACTAGATGATCTTTAATGTCTCAGCATCTCTAAAATTCTTTGAATTTATGTGTAACATGACATCTGCTATTTTCACAGTTATGTGGCCTCCTCTGCTACCGGGCACTGTGTTTCCACACACTGTGAGTTACAGCCTTATGTACTCTGTCTGGCAAGTTCTGACACTGCTTTTGAAACATCACTGTGCTGTCGCCTCCTCTGGATCCTCACTGATCCCACAAAGCCTGCTGCTCCCTACTCAGTCCTCCCATAATCCTTTGTGCATTATGTCTCTTATGAGATGCAACCCAATTGTTGTTATCTACAAGTGTCTGTCTCCCCTTCTGGAACTGTAAGCTGCTAGGGATACACTGACATTATTGATTTTGTGCCTGGAGCATAATTTGGAGTGGCTCTTTGTTCAATGAATATACGGATTACACTGATTCCTGGGTCCTGCCTTCGAAAATTGACATCTAATTGGTCCGGGGTCCAGCCTAGGCGCTGGTGACTTAAAATACAGCCAAAGGTGAGAACGTCTGCTTTCGGAGAAAAGAAAGTCTACACATGCACACACACACGTGCACACCACACCTGGCCCCACATCCACAGCCCCAGTGAGCATTGAGATTGTTCTTTACTTTGGAAGGGAGTTGAGCATTGGGTGCAATGTGATTTTATTAGTCCTACCCACCTCTTCACAGGCCAGCCTGTCATCCACAAAGAGGGGGTGTGCTTGAGAAAAGAGAAAAGCCAGAGCCCCATATGTGGAAAACACACCGGAGGGAGACCCTCACTCACAGAACTACAGCCCATGTTCCTGGTTCCCTTACCCGCCACCCCACCCCTCCACCATCCCCTTCACAAGCTCCTCCTTCCACTCTGAGCCCTAACAGTGCTCCCGAGATGCCCCATCAAGACTCTGTTGTCCTGTGGCTACATGCCCTTCCACTGCCCCCTCACCCAGCCTGGGGGCTTTAAATCTTGTCTGGATGCTGACGGCTCCCTTGTTCAACATCCCCAGTGTCTTCCAGTCCAACCCCTTGCCAGTTCCCACCTCATTCCCCATTATTTCTCCTCCCCACTGACCCCCTCCAGCCAGACCAACACCAGGCTTATTCCCACCTCTCTGTCTGTCATCTGTTCTCTGCCTGGGACGCCTGCCCCTCACTCACCGACGGCCAGCTCTGGGGACGGAGGGAAGGCAGGGGGAGTGCAGAGGGGAGGGGCACAGGCAGATATGGAGGGAGGGACACCAATTTTCACATCTGACTCACAGGCCTCCTCTGGGCCTTCCTCAGAGCAGCCCTCCCTGACGACCTGCTCAAATCCACCCACACTCCTTACCCCTTACTTAGCACTACCTGAAATTAGATCATCTGTTTCTTTGCTGCCTGTATCCCTCTCTAGAATGTAAGCTTTACTAAGATGAGGGACGTTATCTTACCCACTTCTATATCCCAGAGCCTGAAGTTGTGCCAGCCTGTGGTAGGCACGTAACAAATACTCATGTCAAGGAATGATTGGGAGCTTACTGTGACTGCGGTGGAACCTTCTGTAGACCCCAACACAAAAAATCAACCCAACCAAGATGAGCCTATCTCAAGAGAGATAATTTGCAGGTGAAATTTTAAGTAAATATTCCTAAAAATTACCCTCTTCCACCTACTGCTAAGTGATATCTAATCAGACATTTACACTTAAACAAGAACAGGAGCTGAATCCAAATGAGGGAAGCACACAGTATAAAATAATATTATTGGAAATTTATAATATGCCTGATATATTTTTTTGGTTTATCATTTTTTTCTCTATACCCCTTATTTACTCTTTCAAAGTACAAATCCGGGTTGGTCCCCCCTCTTTACACGCTCCCTGACTAATTCAGTCTTCATATTGACAGCATTTGTTTTTCCCAAGGTAACACCTTTGAGTTACTCTCCCTTGATAGGAACACTCAATGTTATCTTGTATCTCGCCAAGTCAAGTCCAAAATCCCATACGAGTCTTTCTTTTTTATTTTAAAAAATTGTGGTAACTTACGCATAACAAAATTCACCAACTTAAACCATTTCCAAGTGCTCAGGTCAGTGGCGTTAAATTCAGTCACAAATGCTGCGCCACCCATCTCCAGACCTCTTCTTATCTAGCAGAACTGAAGTTCTGTGCCCATTAAACAAGGACCTCCATTCCCCCTTCCCTACCCCTGGGAACCCCCATTTGACTTTCTGTCTAACTTGACCTCTCTAGCTGCCATACAGGCTTTTATGCTGTTTTCATGTGGCTTCCTTCCCTCCCCTGCCCAGCTCATCTAGGCTAACTTCTGGTCTAAGTTCTCCCCAAATGCACTGCCACAGCTGTTGAACCAGCTACTGAAGCTCTCTCCTCCAGGCACCTACTCACTCCAACCTCCGGGCATTTGCACGTGAGATTCCCACAGTTGGAACATTCTTCCTGCTTCTCTTCACCTATCCAAAACCTCCCCATCCTTAAAACAGTCTTCAATTTCCATCTTCTCTTTGAAACCTCACCCCACTACCTGAGTCAACACTAAATCCTCTCTTCCTGGAACTTGCATATCATTCATGGAAGTTCCAAGCATTTTGCTTATTCTAATTTTCCAACTGTTCTGTGCAATATACCACTGCCTCCTCTCAAAGTTTCTAAACTCCCAAATAGGGACCATGCCCTATATGTCACTGTACCATCCACCTAGAAGAAGTAGATAAAAAGTAGACATTCAACAAATATTGAACTAACATCATTTGTACTTTCACGAAATTTAGAAATAATTGGAATCACTCTGCAGCATCATTGGGCAACTTTCATGCAAACTTTTCAAGAAAATTTAGTGATACCCAGCAACTTGGTCTAATTATTTGTCTGGTTGCTCAGAAATAAGTCTGTCTAGCATGGTTCTACCAGAGGCAAATTGTAAGGACGTACTCCTGAAATGAGCAGCCATGACTATGTCCCAGCAATTGCTTAAGTAAAATTCAAATTTAGAATCAAGTCTATACCTCTCCCTTCAAAGCCAATCCCCTAGTCCACCCTCCTTGCATGAGCAGAAAGACCTAGAAAGGTCAGAATGATTATAAAACAGAGAGACCCAGGACCAGAGCCAACGTGAGCCAGGAGCTGGCCTCCCTTGGAGTCATCTTGCCGCCCACCTGTGTAAATGAATCTCCCTGGAGCTCCTTTGCAGAACTGCTTGGATTTGTAAGATAGTGTCACTTCCACCACTCCGGGGATGTGCCGAGGAGGAGTCTGCACTCTGATGGCGTGAGGAGTTATTAGCTGAGGAATGAAAAGGCAGGGAAATGAAATACCCATCATGTAAGTGATCGCCAGGAATGCTAAGGATGTGGGCGTCTCCCGCCCTGTGACTATTCCCGCAGGGCAAGCTGGCGTGCTCATGGTGCCCCCCACGCTCTGCCCTGGGTCTTACATGTCTCTCTCTCTCTCTCTGGAATTTCCTCTCAACCTAACCTATCTAGGTCCTTTCCTTCCTACCAGCCCTGCTCAAGTTCCTCCCCTAAATTCCACCCTGCTATGATCTCACGTATTGATTTGGCAATATCCAGCTTAATGCTGTTACTTTTCTTTCTGTAATGTGTCTCGTTGGTTTTCTCATTATGAAAGTGGAATATACCACTTCAGAAAATTTGGAAATTACAGGAAAGCATAAAGAAAAATATTAACTTCACATAACCCAGGGACAACCATATTAATCTTTGGTGTGTTTCTAGTACTTCTCTATGAATGTGTGTTTTATATACATATTCATATATGTGTGTTACTCTCATGTTTTTTTCACTTAGCATGACAGCATAAGCATTATGTGTCATTAGAACTTTTTCAAAACTTAGTTTTTCATGGTGGAATGATATTCTATCATTCCTTTAACCATTCTCCTATTATTCAATATCTAGGCTACTTCCACGTTTTCACAGTTATAAATACGACTGCAATGCATGTTCATTGTTTTAAGGGAATCCACAGCCTGCAACAAATTCTGGCTTGTGTGTCTTTTAATCCTTGCCTTCCTGCTCATGGTAGGTACTCAGTAATGTGCATTCATGCTGCTGATGCTCCAGAAATTACTAGTTTCCCCAAACCAAAACAATCTTTGCACCAAAGAAAGTCAGGGAAGGCAAGGGGCCTACCTCGCTCCATACAAGCATGGTCCCAAATACCACTTGGAGGCCATCAAAGAAGTTGTCCCCAATGATGATGACCATGGCTCCTCCTGTGGTCCAGCCTTCACTTGGGCTGATGGCTTTGATGCAGGGGGTAGCTAAGAAGATAGGAAGGAAAAAGTCAGGCCTGTCCTTTGATGTGTGAAGTTCAGAGTTGTAGGGAATCGCCACTCTTGAAAGCTGTCGATCATTCCAAGCAGTTCAAGCTGAGCTTTGCTGACTTGCCATCACTCCCTAATTAGTTGTTGGTTTTCACCAGGTCATTAGAGCCTTAAGAGTTGACCGCTATATATGAAAACGTGGAACACTCAGCTATTGTGCAAAGGGTGTTTTTAAAACTGTTGTTTTCCCCCATATTTTTATAAGCTGATCACACTGGAAATGTGTAAATCCCTTTTCTCTCCCCACCTCCTCTGCCCCAAGATGTTAAGATTTACAAGTCCTTAAAGTGCTAGAGAAAGAGAAAGCAAAACCTATCATAGTTGAAGATTTTTTTCCACTCTATCAAGAGATAATTTCTAATCACTTTCCTAACTTTGTAGGAAGGATTTTCCCCCCTTCTTCCATATGTTCGAGGCCTCTCGACTTTACATCCCAACAGGAACCCAAGATGGTTTTCAAGCCATAACTAAAGTCAATCCATCACTCCATTTCCAAAGTTGACAGGGTCAAAGGTGGAGGAGAACTTTGGCAGGACTCCAAAAACATGAGCCCCCTTTGAACAGCCAGTCAATCACATCCAATCAGTCAAAAGAAACTGGATGGGTTCCTAGTTCTGAACCCTGGGATTTTCTTCTCCCCTTTCAGTGCCCACTGTGGGAGAATTAACACCACTCCAAATTCTTTACTGATTCAATCATTTTCTTTCAGTTCATTAATTCCTACTTGAAATGATACAAGACACATTTTAAGGGCTGAGTTGGAGTAGGGGGAGGGTGGGCAGTATACAGCAAAACATCACACCAAAATAGCGGCCGTATATTACTGCATAAATAGTATTACAGCCATGCATTCTATACTACAAGGCCTTCCTACACTCATGAGTTGGGGAGCATGGAAGGAAGGAGAAGAACTGAGATGGAATTACTTAGGTTTGTCAGTTATCTTCCTTGACATACTTTAATTTTTCAGACAACTTGAAGTTTAACAGTTACCAGTATTTCTAATTACTTTAATGCAGTTGGAAAACTACCCAGAGCAGACCATGATTTCTTCTGGTCCAAGCAAACAAAAATCAATTAGTGTCAGTTTCATTCTGCACATTGTTCTGTTTTGCCCACAATCTGTTTAAGGGTACGTCTGACACTTATTCATACATGTCTGGCACAGTAATGTTCCTGTTTAACTAGGATGTCATGGGCCTACATTTGCCTGCAATAGCCATCTAGAAAGGCACAGAAGAGAGAGTGAAGTGGGGTGGGGGGGGCCTGAGTATCAGGAGACATGTGGGGGCCACACCAGGGCAGGTGGGAGTCAGTATTTACCACTTCACCTTAAAACCCACACAGTGTTGTGTATCTTCTCCACTCCTACTCTGAGACATAAATCTGACACTCAAATGAGGAAATTTGTAGAGACCTTCATTTGTCTGCCATTCTCAGCCCAGACCATGGACAGCCCTACCTTCTGAGGGGTCCAGTCTTCTCGCCCTCCGCCCATGCTTCGAGTTGTTATGAACAAACATGTTGTCGGAAACGGCCAGCACATGTCCGTCCACATTCACCGTTGTTGACAAGACAACCTGTGCATTCAAAGTACAAAGTGGGGTGGGGGAGTTAGCTTCACATAAAGTAGTAGAAGTTGCAGCATTCTGTTTTGCAGACTTCCATGTGGGTAATGAGAGATGGGGCAGAATGGGGAGACAGAGCCCTGCTCTCAGCATCTCAGTCAGCTTATTCTCCTTCTATAATTACAGCTGAGCTTCCCGGACAAAGAGGCCAGCCTTTGCCCATGTGTTGTCATGTGTTTGTGTTCAAATGATACCCAGGCGATGAAGTGGGGAAGCTGGCGATATGCCTGCTGGTTCTAGAAACGTAGTTCTCTATCAAAGGACTTGGACAATCATTCCCAGCTAACCCTTGAGCTATCGTCACAGTCATGTATCACCAATGATGCATGATCAGGAAGCTAAGACCTAAACAGCAGCAGGAAGGTCACTTCTCCAGGCTCGGGAATGGGTTCCTGCACTTCTGACATGTGTTGAAGTCATGCTGGGCATGGAGATGTTGCCTGGCAGTTGTTGGTGTCCCCAATTGCTGGAGAGCAGAGGCAGAGAGGCTCATATTTTTGGTGAGAAGGTAAAGTTGCTGGAATTCAGTGTTGAAAATGTAGGACATTTAGTATCTAACCAGAGGAAAGGGCAGAGATGAGTGTGGAGTAGTGGAAACAGGGATCTGGGAGTCCAAACTGAACTCAAATCCCATGCCTGCTCCTCCTGACTTATAATGATGGACAAATCACTTAGCCTTTTCGAATCTCCCTTTCTCCTATCTGTAAACCATAAACAACGATCCTGTCTCAAGGGCTGAATGAAATAAGGATAACATAATACATGTAAAGCATTCGGTGCAGAGCTTGGCTTATTCCAGTCAGGGTGAGTTCCTGTGCTAAGCGCCTTCTCTCTGCCTCATGTGACCAGTCAGAAGGACAGATGGCATTATTCACAGAGCCCTTCCTATAGTCTGAGCTCTGGCAGAGGCTCTAGGAAGGGGAGCCCAGAGCCTGGGCACCAACAGGGACAAGGCATGGTCCCCTCCCCTTGAAGGGCTTCCTTGGAAGTTGGAGAAACGTGCCTCACACATGAAACAAGTAGCACGTAAAATGGAATCAAATTGAGTTCTCTGTGCTGCAGATTAGGGCAGTGGGAGAGGTTCAAAGAGGCAGAGGTCAGCCAAGGCTGGAGCAGTGGAGAAAGTGTAGCAGAAGTGAGTGGACTCGAGTGCACCCACCACCTGCTTATTGGACCCAGGAACATGCGCCATTAGATACGAGTCTGCTTGTCAGTTGAGTATGGGTGGCAATTTATTTTGAGGAAGGAACTTGTTGCATACATATTCATACATATGTGTAGACCTTTCAAGGAAAGTCATTGATCAGGTGTCTAATGAGAAGCCATGTATGAAAATGACCCTTCCTGTCTACTCCCAAGTTAAATTTGCTGATATTCTTTTTACTTGCAATTTTTCTGTCACCCCTCTCTTACTTATTAAACGGAGGGGTAAAAAAACCTCGACCCTGCCTCATCTCCCATTATGAAATAAGATTCATTAGATGGCACTTAAAATCTTTTTTTACTATAATTTCAAGCAAACAAAATAAACAAAATAGGATAATGCATTACCCCTCCCTTGAGTGAAATTTACATGTGTTGAAATGCACAACTCTTAGCTGCATTTTATTAGCAAATGGACACACCCAAATCCACACCAATCATGAGATAGAACATTTCCATCACCCCAGTAAGTTATCTTCTGCCCCTGCTCAGTCAACCCTACTCACTACCTACCCCACCCCAGGGTAACACTTTTCTGATTTTTTCAAACCTTAGATAGAGTTTTAGATGATATCTTTAAAATAAAAAATTTTTAATATACTTTAATATAATAGGGGTTTGGGATAACCCCTAAAACCATGAGTTCACTAAGTATTTCACCTAGCTTGCTGCCATGGGCACAAAAAAAGCATAAGGAAATTTTACATGGACTTAAGTGAGCTTCAGTCATTCAACCCAAAAGCATTCACTGAGGCCCTACTATGTGTCGGGTATTTTGTTATGTGTCTGTTCAAAGACAACAGAATTTTGTGCTCCTAGTCAGCTCTGTGTCTCCCCCAGACTGTACTGCAGACCCAGTGTCCCTGCCTCTCTATGACACCAGAATGTACTTACAGGAAACTCAATTGTCTTTCAGAAAATTATTGTCAATGTAATTGCTCACTCTTCAGGGACGAAGCCTGTCTAGCTCTGGGTCTGTTTTTAATTGTGTCCATGTTCATACGTTAAAAGTCTGGGCAAAATCCTTCCAGAAAATTCCTATCATGTGGGGGCCACAATAAGAGGAAGACATCTATTACTCTCCACGAGGGCACGGAGGTAACAGGTTCCTGTCGGGGCTATCTCAGCAGAGCACACAGACAGCATCACAGCCAGAGGGAGAGACAAGCTGTGTCTCTCCTGGTTACCAGGTTAAGAAGAACGTGAAGGCTGAACGCACTGACCTCTGCATATGCTTACCCTCAGAAAATAACAGGCGGAGGTGGAGTAAAAAGAGGAATCAGATCATTTTTTAAGTTGTGTGTATGAATGGAGTTTAAAAGACACCAGCTGTCATCCTTGGAAAAACACAAAAATGAGAGCGTACTTCAGGTTTTAATTGCTAATGAATGGTGCTGGGCGCAATGAGGGGGACCCCAGACTGTTCAGGGGTTATGTGGACATAAAGAGCATTCTCTCTGAGACCACTTTAATTCATTCCACAAGCTCCTCGTCATACTGTACTTTAATGCTCCTCGTGCGTTCCTGCACACAAAATATGGGACTTTCTCGAGCCAGCTGATTTCATCATTGTCCATTTGGGTGGAGTGAGATTCAGTTCCAAAGTGAACATTTCCCAAATGACATACCCTGATGGTTCAGATGCACTTCATTATTTTCTATTAACAATGGAAATAAATTTTAATCTCTTGCTGGCTAGCATTGGCCTCTCATGACAGCAAGGGAATTAACCTGAATTATTTCAGTGTCTGCAAAATTTATTACAAGATTTTAAATTATGTCCAAATGTATGTGCATGTGCATGCATATATATAGATACAAGGCAAGTTCCCATTTTGAATATTCCAAATATCTTAGACTGTGAGCTATCTAGGAGAGCCTGTCTGCTAAACGGAATTTGCCAAATGCAAAGGGCTTAGCTCACAAACTCCACCATGTGAAACCAGACATGTTTGGTTGTTGTTCTTATACATGGAGACACACAAATGTTGGCCTTATACATTCCCTCTACTTCTGTAAGAATGAGCTACTTTATGGAGATAAAGATACATTTGGTATATCAAAGCTTCAAATTTAACTTCCTTCGCCGTTTTCTGATGAACAATGACAATGCCGATATTATTCTACTCCGAGACGTTGAAGTTTCTGAATGTTTGAAGAGTAAAGGAAGTGGAATGTACATTCCAGCATCGTCTCACTCCCAGGCCTTCTCCTTCCACAAGCCAACTTCTTTCCCCTAGTGAGTATTTCCTGGGTCACGAAAGCTGACCTTTTCCATCTGGAATCAATCAGTCAACCCCTGACAACTTCCTGAAACACCTCACACCATTTCCTGTTCTCTCCCTCTTCTCTCTTTTTCCCTGGTTCGCTTCACTCTTCAAAACTGCAGGCCACAGCAGCTTAATGTTAGAGGGTCAGACACAGTTAGACTCCAAAACACTACACAAGGACACCTTTGACCTTCAAAAATCTTTACATCTTAGCCAAACAAATCAAGGTCAACATTTCTTACCATTACCTTGTTAACTATTTGTATGCATCTTTGCCAACGATCTTCTGATCACATAAGTATCAATACCACTTGTTCTCCTGAGGTCATAAACTGATCTGTTTTAGAAGGAACAAATTCGGTATTGACAAAGGGCGCCTTTTGGAGGTACCTGAAACTAACCATCATGAGTATTATTATAACAAACATATGGAGAGTATTCCACACAAAAGAACTTCTATGCTTCATCAGGTCCCCTATCACCGAAACCTGATCCCTAGTCTTTTCTGAAGCTGTCAGACTCGCTTGGCACTGCCATTCTGCTGGCACAGCCCGAAAAGATGCCAATTAAGAATACAGATGTCCATAATTTGTGTGGGATGGACCCCTCGTTTTTGCTGCTGACACTGGTGACAGCTTTCATTTGTTTCTCACAGTTGGTGTATCTGTATTTCAGCTCAAAGCTCTAACAGGAAAGTCTGCAGGTCTGAAAACGAAGCCATTGTAGATTACAGGCCTCCTCAACTGATAGGTTTCCACTGGACACAAAAGCAACAACTAAGTATATATTCATGCAAATATTATTTCTGACATGGGACCTTTAAGCCAGGCTGCCAAGAAAGAGAAGTAGGCATCCATTGAAACTGCTTGCATTTTTTTAAGTGAAAGTAGTTGTTTTACTTTCTGCAATTCCTTGTTTTGCTCAGTGAGATCTCTAAACCTTGGTAAGGCCAGATCAATAAACATAGACCAACTGGAGAATTACCGTGTAGGTTCCATTTTGAATCATTCCATTAAACGGCAGTTTCAGCTGATTATACAGAAATAGAAACATGAATAAGAAGTTTGTTATCTCCCTCTGAGAGACACAAGAAAGTTTTCTGGACAAAATCTACAACTGCGTTTAGCGATCTGCTAAAAATACCCAAGATCCCTGATTGGTTTTCTAAAATTATGTTTTTGTTCTCATTCCCCAACGATAGTCCCCTGTCCCTCACTCTAATCATTTATACAAAGCAGGAGCCCAGTGGTAAGGAGCTCTTTCCTGCCTGTTAAAGGCCATGGGGGGAATACCCTTCAGGTGAGCAAATCTGTCAACCTGACCAACCATGTTCTGATAGAGGCTGTGTTTTGGTATCAGAGTGACAGCATGTGGCACGGGGACTTTTACCAAACTGATGTATTCCCACCCTGGGGTGATTTTCATGCCTCACTCTGAAATGTCTGGCTTTTTGGAACATCACAATTTTTTTTCCCCAAT